CTCAGCGAAACTAATGGCGGCCCCTTCTGTTGTCTCAGACGAACTGCTCCATACCCTTCTGGGATTGGTGTTTGGGAAGTGCTTTCTGCTAAAGGACTCCAACGATTGCTTCCTATCTTAGGGGTCTGAGGACTATCCTTAGGATTATCAATCTCTTGCTCACCTGGTGGAGCAGACTGGCTACTCTCTTTCTCTCTCTCTCTCCCTCTCTCTCTCTCCCTCTGTGCTGACTCTGGGACAGTTCCTGTGCTCTGACCAGAACTCATACGGTCGGCTGCTCCCTTCTGGGTCGAGTGCGAAACTGGGACTCTCCCTTCCATGCTTCTTCTCCGCATATCCTCGTTTGACATGACGGATCTGACCACACTGGTGTACGACTGTTTCTTTCCTGTCGGATCTAATGATTCTTCTCCAGTTTTCCAGTGACAGTCCTACCAAAATTGGATCATTGGGATCTGGCATGAACTGATTCGTCCTTGGTTTTCGATGAACTCGTTTCAACAAGTCTCCCTGTCGCATCCAAACATCTTCCGTTTCTTGTTGATCCACTGCCAACTGCAACGGAGTAGGGGTGCCTGTTAGATCAATGAACTGTGCTCCTAATCTGTCCTTGTCGTCGAGTAGAGAGTTCAACCCGAGCAGTTCTCAACCATCAGTCTGTGCCAGAACACGTTCTTCTGCTGTGACATGACGCAAGTGTTCTGGTGCCACCTTAAACATGTTCTTATGATGATAAACAAGATAGTTTCTGCCTACCTTCCCCATCACGATGGCAACCCCAAACCACCTACCTCCTACCAAGCGAATGCCCTTCTCATATTTCTGTGTTCTCCAATATGCAACATAGTCACCTGGAATGAAATCTCTCTCGACCCTGGGTCTTGCATTGAGAGCTGTTCTGAGAGTCTTACCATCCTGGGACATAATGAGGGCAGTTCTGGCTTGTTTTCGGATCATTTGGGATCTAGCTACCACATCATCGGTCAAGGCAGCAGTACCAGACACTGGACATGGCCACTCTTGCAACAGGTCTCCAGGAACCCGAAAGACCGTGTTGATTCAGCAATTCGTTCTTGGCATTCATTGTTTGTACGATGCATTGTTCGTACTCCTGTCGATCCTTTGGTTGCGCCTGGTCTAAAACTTTCAGGAGGATGACTTCGAACAAATGCCCATGTTTCTCTACCTTGCCTAACTGCGAATGTGCTTCTGCTGCACTGGAAATGATACGAATGCCATCACGTTCGAGTTGCTGAAGCACGGATTCCGCTTGATTCGTGCGAGGTGATGACCTCGACTGGTGGGCCTGCCCACCGCTGCCAAGCCTCCTGGAATGTTTTTCTCAAGACTTCACTTGTCTCTTTCTCGAAAAATGGAACAATCACCTGGAAACTGGTCGCAAAATCAATTAGGTTCACTTTCTGGTTGACTTGCCATCCCGGCAGTTTCTTGACATCCCAACCTACTCAGTACTCTATGATTGAAGTCTATTGGTTTCTCTGGACTCGTCGGTAATGCTGGGGTTGGTCTTTGTCGTTGCTGGCAAATGTCGCACTGCCCTTCTACGTTCTCCGCCTCTTTGAGTGCCTGTTCAGACCCACCTGCATGTTTCAGAATCCTGACAAGTGTCCGGGTCGATGGATGACCCAGGTTTTGTGCAACTTCTTCAACAAAACATTCACTTTCTGGGGATCTTGAACCTCGGCAGCGAGGACTTTTTGAATTTGTGTTTCACAGCCCAACGAGTCACTCGGCAGGTCCTGCACGACAGCGAACGCACACAATTGCTCTTGGGGTCTAATGCATGAATACCACTCGCGCAAACGGCTTCGTGTATTCGGCTGCAATGGTACTCCTACACTGACCTGAACTATTGTGACCTACAATGCTTTGGTGTTCTGTGTGTCCTGGACATTCCATTGCGAGCGAGGCCATGTCGGAATGAGACACGGCCAAACCAGTCGGCTTCAGCGCTGGCAGATGGTTCTCTGGGTCAACCAAGCCATGGGCACACATGTTTGCCTTGTGCACTGTCAACAGTCCGGCCTGCACCAACTTGCGCATCGGAGGATATCTCCAAAGATCACTTGACCAAGGATGTTCCACCAGCACCCTACCACCTCGTTTCAATTGGCGTTTGATCTGTGCAACACAAAAATCAGCCTGTTTCTGAGCTATTTGTTGGTTGTGCAGCCGTTCGGTCAATGATAGCTTGTGCTTGTTCAAACGACACCAGCCGCCCCAATGTTTGCATTCTGGACAACACACCAACAGCTCAGGTGAGGCCTCCTCTAACTGCTCATCTACTTGCTTTTGTGTCTTGGTGTCCAACAAATCCCAACCCTGTTTGATGTCAAACGACAGGCCCCTTTCTCCCCGTGCCTCTGCCAACTCACTGAAGCGGGGAGGAGAAAACAACTCAGCCACTGCACATGTGCTCTTCTTCTCCTTGGACCACGTCTCATGGTGAGCCATCAGGCAGCGATGTTCACGACGAGTCAGGGCTCTGGTTGGCCCCTGCATGAACTGTGATTGGCCACGGATGATCACCGGCATGGACATCACTCGTTCGGACAGCTCTTCTTGGCCATTGCCGAACCTGAACAAATTCTGCTGTGGTCGACTCTCAGGCACTGACATCTTTCGATCTTGGTACACGCGCATGAAGTCACCCAGCGTCTGTTGCCCAATGAGGGTCCTGCTGCAGCCAGAATCCATGATCCCATAGCCTGGTGATGAGACCAAATAGACCTCTTCTGTCACCATCGCAGCTCCACTGACTTTCTCCTTGTCGTTCTGACCAGATGTGCCAGAATTTTGCGGGCAGCTGCTGGCCCAATGCCCGATCTGTCCACAGCGTCTGCATCTGGAGCGCTTCTGGATGTCGGTCAGGTCTTTCGAGAACTGTTTCTTCATTGATGCAGCCTGCTTGAACTTTCTTGCTTTCTGCAACTTTGATATCTCTGTCCTCTTCTCCGGCCATGTGGCGGCCAACACCTCGGCGACCTCAGCCTCATCGAAAACTTCTGGGGGCGATGACGATGAAGTGGTGTCTTGAAATCCATGCTCTGTCAAAAATGCTTCAACCTCATCAAATACAACACTGTCGGGCCCGTCTGCCTCGAAAGCTAGCCCCGTCTCCGGTTCATCCTCTGTCTCACCATGTTGCACCACATAGGCAGAAACACTCTTGATTTGCCGTTTGCCGGCCTTGAAATCCGGAAAACAGCTTCTCATTGCAGGCATGATGTTCTCCATCTTCAAGTCGCCCTGCGTCTTTGCAGTCACAATCGCCCGCTGGTCTGCTGAGAGGCCTGAGGCATTCAGGCACACCCACCCCCGTGCTTTGGGGGGAAAATCCACAAAACACATACGGCCCTCTCTGGTTCGAAGCCATGTCCTTCGTGGATGCCATCGCTTGTATTCCTGCGGGTCCAGAGATTCTCCACTGAACCTGCGTTGTCCTCCATATCCCTCGGAGGAGGCCATGGCACTAGACTCACTAGCTATGACACTGCTTTTCAGTGGTTCAGTTCTACCTAGAACCTACACAACCTACCCCGGATGCCACTCGCGCTTAAGCAGGTGGCTCCGCTACCAACGTCGAAATCAGGCACTTCAAGTGCCACAACTAGGGAACCTACTCAAAACCTAACCGGCGCTTTTGTCGCTCGGCCTCGAGCCTTGGTTGCCTCCAGTGGCGAAACTGTAGTGTACATCATACATCAGACACTGCTTTTTCATATATAAAACTGTGTCCGTGGCGACCAGATGACTCCCGCCATTGAGCAATGTTTCCAGATTCTCGAAGCCGTGATCTCTATCCATCCAGAGCGTGAACTTGATGTTTGGCCGAGACACCATGAGCGCTTTGTTGCGGCGTCTGACGCTGCCTTGGAGACCCCAGGTGAAGGCACGGGTGGTTTTCTCCTTGTCTTCTTCCACGAGGACGCAGAGATCCGGCTTGGGTTTGTGTCCCATCTCCCATCGTCAATCTATACTCTTTGGACTCCAGGGGATGCTAAGATAGCGCAGCTCGAGCTCTTGCAAGTTCTTATGGCCTTGACGACTACTCCTGAGCGATTTCGCAATCGCCGAGGCACGTGGTACATAGACAATACAGCTGCTTTGATGGCGCTCATCAAAGGCAGATCAGACAGCCCTGACCTCGAGCATATGAGTCACATGATTCACACTCTTTTGTTTTCACTTAGATGCTGGATTTACTTTGAGTGGATCCCCTCCAAAAGTAATTGGAGTGACGCTATTTCCCGTGAGGGACATGCGGATCGCTGGCACCACGACCAGGGTTTCACTAGTCGAGTGGCCACATTTTTCGAACCACTCTGGTATTTTCCCTTTTCCGTCACTCTGCGAGTCG